AGGAAGGGTCACCAGACCCGAAACGTTAACTGTTTTTTCCTTCACAGATGCTGCCAGACCTGCTGGGCTTTTCCAGCAATTTTGTTTTTGTTCCTAATTTACAGCATCCACAGTTCTTTCGATTATTTTCTCAATCTGTGAATACTGATTTTACCAGTTCCTCACCACGATTACTATCTGTAGTGTTAATAAATAAAGGTAGGAAATATTCCCCTTACTTTTAGAGGTATGAGGTACTGGAAGGCTGTTTATTGGCGTGGAGGTTATTTGTTTAGTACATATTTCAACAGAATCATAAAAGTAAATTGCAGGTATATGGTCCCAGGCAGTTTTGAGTTACAGTTTAAGACCAAGCCATGTAGAACCTAATGTTTTGATTTCCAGAAAATCTATTAGCAAAATTGTCTTTTCTTTTTCTCTTGTTAGATATTTTCAATTACTTTTTTCCTATTCTTTCATTTTTATATTCTGTATCTGGCTACTGAGATATACTCTTTACTGTACAGTTTTCTATGTCAATTAATTTATTCTTCTTGCCATTTTTGAGAAATTTTAAACACATGAAAGATTAATTTTTCCAGAGTCTCGATTTTGGAACATTTGTTCCTTGTACAGCTGACAAACAGGATTCTGCTTTGAAATTTTGATATTTTGGTTTTAGACATTGAGGTTGTGAACGGTGCTACGTAAATACAAGTCCTTTCCTTTATTTTTATTAATGTTATGTTATTTTTTCAATTTGAATTTTGCCTTTATTAAATAAATCAGTACCTATACTTTTTTCAACAAAGGTGGTAAAATAGTATGGAGGTACAGGTGACAAAACAGACTGAAGTGTGAAGTGGTGCTAATTCAAAATCAGCACCTGCTTGGAGTTGACTATGATGGAAGGCAGATTGATATCAAATATAAGTTATGGGGTTGAACAAGAGAAGATTTACAATGGTGACAGAAGAGGATGTGAGGGATTTTAGGGGTTTAGATTGTGAGAAACAGCAAGGTGTATGTTTTGAAGTGCAGGAATGCTGTGGGGTTGAGGGAGTGTGATGGACTACCAAAGTTCAGCGTGCAACTTGGTCAAATTTTTTGATCGTAAGTGGTTTGATAGTTAGGTGGCAGTGCATGCTTAAAGGGCCAAATAGCTTACTTCTCCTGTTGCATGCAATCATATTAGATTCTTGGCTATTGGGTAGTTACAAGTGAGGAGCGGAGGTTGTTGATCTCAGGTGGCCAAGCAAGATCGAGACGCCAAATGATCTTCTCTTGCATTTAACACAAATGTTTGTAAATAGAACACAGATATTAATGTCTGTTAATTCTTAGAACTGTTGTCAGTGCTTTTTGTCAGGCAAATGGGGTGCACTTAAACACTGAAACTGATTTCCTTGTGGGGTAATTTTGCTTTTCTCTGGAGAGTTTTAAACTAACAATGCCAAAGGTTGCTGTGGCACCAAGAAGGATGAGGAAGAACAGCCTGGTCTTGTCACAATTCTAAGTAAAGATAAGTTCAACAACTGCCAGCCAGTCAATTTAACTGGAAGGGCGTAAGAGCCAAGAGTTAATATGACAAGAATGCCAAAGTACAAGGATTAGTATTTATACTGTTTGCAATCCCTTTTTGAAGTTCAAGTAATCAAACACTTTTCTTTCATTAACCTTGTCTGTTACTTCTTCAGAAAAAAAAATGCAGTAAGCTAGTTAAGTACAATTTTCCCTTAAGAAATCCATGCTCACTTTCTTTTATTAATCCAATGCTTGCCCATGAGACTACATTTTTATAATTATCGTTTCCAGAAGCTTTTCCAACACTAAAGTTAACCTGACTAGCTGGCAGTTGTTGAGCTTATCTTTACTTAGGATTGTGACCAGGCTGTTCTTCCTCATCCTTCTTGATGTCACTGCAACCTTTGGCACCAGTCTCCTTCCAACACTACTTCACCATTACCAGCTGGATGAGACAGAACTTGCTTGGTTCCATTCTTATCTGTCTAATCATAGACAGAGAATCATCAAAAATCATCTCTTTGGCATCTCTCCTATGTTCTTTGTCAACACTGTCTGAAAATGTATCAGTTTCCTCATGTATGCTGAGCCGTTTAGCTAGCCTTACTTTCCCACCACCTCTCATCTCCTTCACTGTCTCTAAATTTTCAGACTGCATATGCACAATAGAATATTGGGTGAGCAGAAATGTCCTCCAACTAAATATTGGTAAGATCTAAGTCATTATCTTTGTCTCTGCTACAAATTCTGCTCCCTAGCCATGGAATTCATCCTTCTACATGGCAGCTGTCTGAGGCTGAACCAGAATGTTTGCAACCTTGGTATTCTATTTGATCCCGGAATGAGTTTGAAACTACATCCACTTGTATGAATAAAACTGCACATTTCCACCTTCATTACATAACTGACCGCCCCTAGAAATGCGGTTCTACCGCTGAAATACTCATTCATGCTTTTGTTACCTCCAGCATTGAATATTTTAACTCATTCCTAACTGACCTTCTACATTCTACACTCTGTAATCTTGAGGCCATCCTAAACCTTCCTGCCAGTCTTTTAACTCACTATAAATTCAGTTCATCCAACATCTGATACCTGCCAACCTAGATTGGCTCCTGGTTAAGCAACACCTGAACTTTATAATTCTCATGCACATGTTCAAATTCCTCCTTATGTCTGGAATACAATCCTCCAAGATATCTGCACCCCTGTAACTCTGACCTCTTGAGCATCCCTGATTTTAATTGCTTCTCCATTGGTTCAACTCATGAGTTGCCTCCCTAATCCTCGCAACCACCCTTTCCTCCTTTCAAACACTTCTTTAATCCTATCTTATTGTCTAAACCTTCAGTCATCTGACCTAATATTTTCCCATGTGACCGAATGTCATTTTGTTTTATGCCTTTGTGAAGTATCTGGGACATGTCAAAGATGCTATTTAAATGCAAGATGTTGTTGAATCTCTGACTTCTCATGCCACTCCTGTCCCATTGTTTTGGAAGCCTCCAAAGATTCATCCTTGATCTCCTCCCCTCCTTATTTACATGCTTTCCCTCAGCAAAACCCCATCTGGAAATGTAAAAGCATAAACAATAGGGTCATGAGCATACTATTTTGAACCTTTGAGACTGCACCATGATTCAGGAAGTGATTGAAACATAATATCCTGGGGGTTTGACTGTTTAAAACAGTGATGAGATAAAAAATATTCTCAAAGACAGCCATATCCCTCTCAGATTTTCTTCCCGGAAAGTTTGTACAAGCAGAGCCTTCAAGTATTTTTAAGGCAGAGGTGGATAGATTCTTGATAAGCAAGTGCATGAAAGATTGTCAGGGTTAGGTGGGAACGTGGATTGGAGGTCACAGTCAGATTTGCCATGGTCTTATTAAATGAAGACTTGAGGAGCCGAATAGCCTAATCCTGCTTTTTGCTCATATGAAGACCATGGCTGATCTTCCACCTTAACTCTACTTTCCGGTAATATTCCTATAAACGATAGCACCCATAAATTTGATCAACCTCCATCTTGAATATACATGATGACTTAACATCCACAATTCTCTGGGGTGGAGAATTCTAAAATTTCACAGCCTTTTGCATTAAAAGAGTTCCAACTCAGTCCTAAATAGCCAACCCTTGTTCTGAGGTTATGACCCTGTTTTCTTGACTTCCCAGCCAGGACAAACTTTACTCAACATTTACCTTGTCAAGTTTACTTTGAAGTTTCTATGTTTCCGATAAAGCCGCTCGATCTTTTGTTGTAGGACAATCTTCAGCATGTACTCTCCCTGTCCTTCCTATTACCGCCAGTCATCACTTCAACCTGGACCCTATGCTGTGGAATTACTTGCATTAAACTGTTTGTCTTTCCATCTTATTAGAATCATAGAATCCGTACAGTGTGGAAACAGGCCCTTCGGCCCAACAAATCCACACTGGCCCTCGGAACATCCCACCCAGACCCATACCCCTATAACTCAGCTAATCTACACATCCCTGAACACTACGGGCAATATAACATGGCCAATCCGCCAAACCTGCACATCTTTGGACTGTGGGAGGAAACCGGAGCACTCGGAGGAAGCCCACGCAGACACGGGGAGAATGTGCAAACACCACACAGACAGTCGCCCAAGGCTGGAATCGAACCCGGGTCCCTGGTGTTGTGAGGCAGCAGTGCTAACCCTTTGGAAACCACCATTTAGACTAGGTTTTTGGTCAGACTTCCTAAAATCCGTTCCTTTGGCTTGGTACCTATTTTTCTCCTTGCAGCTTTAAGTCATCTTGGGAGATTTTTCTATATTACAGTGGCACTATTTACATGAAAATTGTCAATAATTTCCATACTCTCAATTCAAAGCTTAGAGAAAGTGGGTAAAAAAGGAAATTTTTTTATCGTGTTTGAATTAACCGAGTAGCATAAGTGTTTAATATAGAAAGTACTGTAATTTTAATATTAGCCATTGCGGTTTAACAATAAGTATTGATGCAATAAATGTTGTTAATATTCAGGTAACTTTGGAGATCGATACTTTGGCACCGATGCACCATCTGATTGGTATGAGAGTGATGAGGGCATGGACTACTAAGTATCTTTCTGTGTATCTGATGGATCCAAGATGGCCTAAAAACAAAAGGATTATATTTGTTGTACATGAACATATTTTTGACTGTATCCAAGCGCAAGCTGAACATTCCTTTTCTGAATTCATATTGTCAAATAAGATTTATTTTGAATATTTTCAGTTTTTTGGGTTTGGGCATGTTGTAAAATGGTCTTTAAGTTAGGATATTTTAGATCAGAATTCACATTTAGAATGCCAGTAAAATGTATCCGATTTTAAATAATCTAATCATTCTTAAAGTATATAAATGAGAATTGAATCTGCTTGAGTTCAGTTTCACAAGTTAAAAACTTGAACTTTTTAAAGCATGTCTGAAAAAATATAATGACTTCATTTGAAGTAGTTATGTGGCTTCTTTTTTTTAAGTAGGCAATGAGGGTATATAACTTATTTATAAAACTCCAGACCGTACTTCAAATAGTTTAACTCCCCTCTCTCTACAGATTCTGTCACCTCTGCTGAGTTTAATGTCCAATGTGACATTCTTCAGAATATTTTGAAGAATAGTGGTATGGACACAAAAAGTTAAGTTTGTTTCCCTTTCCGCAGATGCTGCCAGACCTGCTGAGTTTCTCCAGCACTTTGTTTTTGTTTCAGAACTCCAGCATCTCAATACTTTGTTTGTATTTCAGCTAGGTTTTCTTGTAAATGGCATGCTGTCATAATATGTACATCACTATTTAAACATGAACCATTCAACTAGCAAGTCAATACTTGGGATCTTGGTCACAAGTAGTATGTTGATCCAGGCAATGTATTCTCAGCAATGATTATTTCAGTCTAAGCTAGGAATCTTCAACCAACAAAGTTCCTGTTTCACATAAATTCATCGTTATTTAATATTTAAATTTTCAGTCATAAAGACTTCATATAGAATCTCCTTCAATAGAAGTCTTAATAAACATTCCTCAAAAATGCTTCCTACAACTAATGTGACCTTTATCTGGTCTGGGATTTATTTTGAAAATAATATAGGAATAGCTGCACTATCACAAACAAACAGATGGAAACTAATAACATGGTTCTTTTTCTGCATGTTAGTTGAGTTAATTGCATGCATAAGTCACATCAGTGATCTTCTATAATCGAGAATGTGGCTTAATACCTGACTTCATTTCTTAATTTAACTGCACATTCAATTTTACATGTTTATGATCTGCCATTATGAATGGAGACCATAGCACTTGTGGGTTAACAAAATAATGAGAACCAAATACTTATCCCTCTCAATGGCAATTATTAAGACACAAATAAAGTTTGAAGTTATTTTCGATTGTCCAGGAACAACACAAAAACTGTAGGACTCTCTAAGACAAGGCTTCCCAAAGTGGAGATCTGGACCAAGAGTGAGGTCATGACCTGAAATGTTAGAATCATGAGCTCTGAGTTAGTAGTGGCTGCCATGGGTTTCTGCATGCCTAACAGGAAATAAAACTAGGTCACATTCCAATCCCCTGCTCCCATAGGCCCCTCCCCATCCCAACAAGCTCACGACCCACTCTTAGTTCTTACACAAAGATTACAACAATTTTCAAGACTTGAAATGAAGTCACGGTGGGGGGAGAATTGGAAAGTACTGCTGTAAATAAGGAGCTTAATTCTTCCCACTTATACACCACATTGTTAAATTGTGAAGGGAATACTTACATTTATAACTTGCCTTTCATGTTATAGAGATGTGCCAAAGTTCTTTACAGCCAATAAACTGCTCTTACTATGTACGTACATTATCTATTCTTTCATGGAACGTGGGTACTGCTGGCTAAACCAGCATTTGTACCCCATTTCCAAGAAGTAGTTAGGAGTGAGCTACATTGAATAGATCTGGAATCACGTGCACATGGGACCAGGTAAGCATAGTGGATTACAATCTGTAAAGAGTAGTAGAATGGATGGGTTTTTGTGACAATCAATAGTGGTTATATGGTCACCATTAGTCTAGATTTTTATTGACTTCAAACTGCCATGATGGCATTCAAACCATTAGAACGTTATCCTGGAATTCTAGATTAGTCTGGTGCCATTACACTGTCATTGCTTTCCCCGTGAACAGTTAATAACTTGCTAAATTTTGCAAAATCGGACCTATAATCGTTATGAACTCTTATTTTGTTAAAAGGAATGTAGTTCTTATGTTCTGTGGAAATGGCGTGAATCTGTTGAGACTCAACTGCATTTGAAAATAAATGAGATGTGAAGTGTTGTACACCATAATTTATTATTGCGCAACTGGATATTCACGTGAACTAATTGAATCTATATGTCTGCATTTAATCAATTTTATAGAGTATTTGGAATTAACTTTTTAACAGTTAAAATGTTAAAATATTTTTATATAGTTAAAGAAACATATAAGCACAGGTTAAGATCTAAAAGGCAGCAATAGCAATGTTGGATTTATTATTTTGCGTGGCAGATGGAAGAAGCAATAGTAAAATTCCTGACTGAAAATGCAAAACTCCTAAACCTTCTATGATATTATCAAGATTTTCTTCATATGGAAATGTACAAGTGTCATCAAGTCATGTAATGCACAATGTCTGTATACTCTGCAACCTGTATTGTTTTGACTGTACCTTTCTTGCATCTGATAAAGTTTATATTACATTGTGCAACATATGAATGAATAGTAGATATCACTCAGTTATTCCAGTTGGGAGATATCCACAACATATGGATGATCGTAACAGCATTACATCAAGATAAACTCCAATATTAAGCTAACTCTTTTAATTATAAATCTCCCTGTACAATATTGAACTCTTAAGATACCAAGAACAACTTATAATGGTTTATGGTTCTACAGTAAGAAAGATGAAATGATCCAGATTACGATTGAACTTATTGCTATTGACATTTTTATGGCGGCACATTGCCACAGTGGTTAACGCTGCTGCCTCACTGCACAAGGAAACCGGGTTTGATTCCAGCCTCGGGTACGTATGGGTTTCTGCCGGGTGCTACAGTTTCCTCCCGCAGTCCAGATATGCAGGTTAGGTGGATTGGCCATACTCAATTGTCTGTATTGTCCAGCGATGTGTAGGCTAAATGGATTAGCCATGGTAAATATAGGGTTATACGGATAGGGTAGGGGTCTGGTGGGATGTTTTTTGGAGGCTTTGTGCAGACTTGATGAGCTGGATGATCTCTTTCTGCACTATAGGAGTTATATATGCAAAACAAAAAAACACAGCAAATTTTAACTGAAGTTTTTGTCCTTGTCATCCATGGAACCAATAAGCATATAGAACTATGTGCCATTTAAGCATTGTATATTTCTTCTTGTTAAGATATTGTTGTAAGTTCTTAAAATAACAGATTTACTTTTTTGGTAATATTACATTGTCTTGTTATCCTGCATATCCTTTGTTCTTGCAGTTTCCCCACTGAAACTTCTGTTTTGTGGTGAAAATTACAAGAACATAGTTTTTAAAAACTATCATTCATTGAAAGACATTCTGCTATCTTTCATTCCCTATATTTTTTACCCATGTTCTTCCCTACTAAGTTCTGGTTCATGACAGTCCTTCAGGGAAGGAAATCTACCATCCTTATTTCGTCTGGCCGACATATGACTCCAAACCCACAGCAGTGTGATTAACTTTCAATCGCCCTCTGAAATAGCGAAATGAAACTAAACAGATCACTTGGTTTTGACCTAGAAAAGACAACGGCAGAAACAGTCCTGTTGACCCTGCAAAGTCCTCATTACTAACATCTGGGAGCTAGTGCCAAAATTGGGAGAGCAGTCCCACAAACTATTCAAGTGACAACCTGACAGTCATACTTATGGAATCATACCTTACAGACAATGTCCCAGACACTACCATCACTATCCCAGCATATATCCTACCCCACTGGCAGGACAATCCAACAGAGGTAGCAGCACAATGGTATAAAGTTGGGGGTAAGTTGCCCTGGGAGTCCTCAACATTGACTCTGGACTTCAGGTTAAACATGGGCAAGGAAACCTCCCTCTGATTTCCACGTACCATCCCCCCTCGGCTGATGAATCAATACTTCCCCCATGTTGAACAACAGTTAGAGGAAGCACTGAGGGTGCCAAGGGAGCAAAATGTATTCTGGGTGGGGGATTTCAATACCCATCACCAAGAGTGACTCAGCAGCAGTATTACTGATTGAACTGGTTGGGTCTTAAATGATGTAGCTGCTAGACTGGATCTGTAGCAGGTGGTGAGGGAGCCAACAAGAGGGAAAAACATACTTGACATTATACTTTCCAATCTGCCAGCTGCAGATGCATCTGTCCATGACAGCATCAGTAAGAGTGATCACCGCATAGTACTTGTGGAGACAAAGTCCCACTTTCACTTTGAGAAGGCCTCCACTCCATCATCTTGTGTGGCACAATCACCGTGCTAAATGGAACAGACTTCAAATAGATCTAGCAACTCAAGACTGGGTATCCATAAGGCGCTGTGGGATATCAACAGCAGCAGAATTGTACTCCGACACAATCTGTAATGTTATTACTCAGCATATCCCCTACTCAACCATTACACCAAGCTAGGTGACCAACCCTGGTTCAATGGAGAGTGAAGAAGGATATGCCAAGAGCAGCACCAGGCATACTTGAAAGTGAGGTGTCAAGGTGGTGAAGTTAACAAACAGCATAAGCAGCAAGTGATTGATAGAGCTAAGCAAACGCACAACCAACAGATCAGATCTAAGCTCTGCAGAGCTGCCATGTTCAGTTGTGAATGGTGGTGGACAATTAAACAACTAACCAGAGGAAGAGTTTCCATAAATATCCCCATTCTCACTGATGGAAGAGCCCAGCATATCAGAGCAAAAGATAAGGCTGTAGCTTTCACAGCAGTCTTCAGCCAGAAGTGCCGAATGGATGATCTATCTCTGCCTCCTCCAGTAGTCCTAGCATTACAGATACCAATTTTCAGCCAATTCGATTCACTCCACATGATATCAAGAAACGGTTGGTTGCACTGGATACTGAAAAGGCTATGGACCCTGTCAACATTCTGGCAATAATACTGAAGACTGAACTCCAGAACTTGCCGCTCACCTAGCCAAACTGTTCCACTACAGTTACGACAGTGGTGTCTACCTGACAATGTGGAAAACTGCCTAGGTGTGCCCTGTAAGTAAAAAGCAGGACAAATCCAGCCCAGCCAATTACCAAACCATCAGTCTACTTTTGATCATCAGTAAAACGATGGAAGGTGTTCTACAGTGCTATCAAGCAGCAGCACCTCAGTGACGCCCAGTTTGGGTTCTGCCAGGCCCACTCGGCTCCTGACCTCATTTTAGCATCGCTTCAAACATGGACAAAAGAGTTTAATTTCAGAGGTGACGTGAGAGTGACAGCCCTTGACATCAAGGCTGCATTTGACCAAGTTTTTTTTAATTCATCCACGGGATGAGGGCGTTGCTGGCTAGGCAGCGTTTATTGCCCAGTCCTAATTGCCCAGAGGGCAGTTAAGAATCAACGACATTGCTGTAGGTCTGGAGTCACATGTAGGCCAGACCGGGTAAGGATGGCAGTTTCCTTCCATAAAGGACATTGGTGAACCAGATGGGTTTTTACGACAATCAGCAATAGATTCATGGTCGTCATTAGATTCGTAATTTCAGATATTTATTGAGTTCAAATTCCACCATCTGTCGTGGCGGGATTCAAAGCCAGGTCCCCAGAACATTATCTGGGTCTCTGGATTAACAGTCCGACAATGATACCACTAGAGTGTGGCATCGAGGAGCCCCGGCAAAACTAGAATCAATGGATATCGGGGGTGGGGGGCAAACTGTCCGGTGGTTAGAGTCATACCTGACATATAGGAAAATTGGTGTGGTTGTTGAAGGTCAGTCATCTCCGCTCCAGAACATCTCTACAAGAGCTCCTCAACGTAGTGTCCTAGGCCCAACCTCCTTCAGCTGCTTCATCAATGACCTTGCCTCCATCACAAGGTCAGAAGTGAGGATGTTCACACAATATTCAGCATCGTTCATAACTCCTCACATACTGAAGCAGTCCATGTTCAAATGCAAGAAGATCTGGACAATATCCAGGCTTGAGCAGACAAATAGCAAGTAACGTTTGCACCACACAAATGCCAGGCTATCACCATCACCAATAAGAGACAATCTAACTACCACCTCAATATTCAATAGTGTTATCATCACTGAATCCCCCACTATTAACATCCTGTGGGATTACCATTGACCAGAAACTCAACTGGACTCTCCACATAAACAGTGGCTACAAGAGTAGGTCAAAGGCTAGGAATACTTTGCTGAGTAACTTAGCTCCTGACTCTCCAAAGCCTGTAGTCAGGAGTGTGTTGGAATACTCCCCACTTGCCTGGGTGAATGCAGCTCCAACAATACTCAAGAAACTTGACACTATTCAGGACAAAACAGCACACTTGATTGGCATTACATCCACAAGCATTGATTACCTCCATCACCAAAGATCATTAGCAGCACTGTGTACTATGTACAAGATGCACTGCAGAAATTCACCAAAGATTCTTAGACAGCACCTTGCAAACCCATGACCACTTCCATCTAGATGGACAAGTGCAGAAGATACATGGGAATACCACTACCATCAAGTTCCCCCTCCAAGCCATTCACCATTCTGACTTGGAAATATATCATCGTTCCTTCACCGTCACTGCGTCAAAATCCTGGAATTCCACCCATACAATGGCATTGTAGGTCATTCCACATCAGGTAGACTGCAGTGGTTCAAAAAGGCAGCTCACCACCACCTTCTCAAGGGATGGGCAATAAACGTTAACCAGTCAGTTATACCCACATCCCACAAAAGAATAATAAAAAGTCTTTTCTATGATTTTGGTCCCATGTCAATAATACTTGACAGCTATTTTATATGCTGTAATTGTGGCAGAACCTGCCTCAGATATTAATCTCTTCGTTCAATCAAAAATAGGCATCATGCAAAGCTTCTGTGTTACCAATAGATCTGTTGAATTTCCATCTTATGAAGATGGGAAAATACTAACAATGAGACTGAAATTAAAAGGAAAGTTTCCTGATGTTGTATTGGTTTTTGATATGGAGCTGTTTTGAGTGTTATGAGTTCCACTGCAGTAATTTTGTACTATTGTGTATACCAGTTGGGGTATAAAATATCTGTGGTGGGTTGATCTTCATGCTGACAAATTATCATGATAAATTAGTTTATGTAGTCAGCCCAGGGTTTTTTTTAATTTTGCATGCAGGAAAGAAATGAAGGACCAAAAAGATGATTGCTAAGAAAATTTGATCCATAAAGCCACGTGCATCAACTGTATATTTTTTTCAATGGATATTTGCCTGGAACCTCCTGGTGCAGAATTAACCTTTTTTTTGCAGTTGCTCTACCTTACCCCCTAGCTCATACTTACCAGTGATTATTTCTTCTCCTTCCTTCTGGATTAGGTTACCTTAAAGTTGGGCAAATCTTTACTTCTGTCTTTTTCAAAATATAGCCAAGGAAAAGAGTAACTTTTGTGATTTACAGTGTCTCAGATGTCAACATAATTTCCCTGCTTTTGTGCTAGAAGCAAGTTTGAGTATGATGTGTATTTAAATGTAATGGTAAATACATAAAGTCAGAAGTCACATGGTTATTGTCCATCAGATTATTTGAAATCACAAGCTTTTGCAGCGCTGCTCCTTCATCAGGTGAAGAGTGGCACACAGGCACAGAATTTCTAGGCAGAGAGATCAAAAGATCATCCAAATGGTGTGAGTGGAGTGTCGACAGTGAATAACGAGTCTCTGCAGACAAACAGGAGGCTGGAAGAACACAGCAAGAAAGGAGAAATCAGTGTTTCAGGTATTACCCTTCTTCAGGACTAATACCCAAAACATTGATTTCTTTCCTCCAGATGCTGCCTGGCTTGCTGTGTTTTTCCAACCTCCTGTATGTCTACTGTGGATTCCAGTATCTGCAGTTTCAGGTGATCAGAAGTCAGACAGTGTGAGTAAAGTGTCAACAGCTGAATAGCAAGTGAAGGGATGACCTATGCTCCGATTAATTGAAGCGGAGAGATAATTACAAAAAAAATTAAAAATAAAATGGTGCTGGAGACAAATCAAACGACTGGAATAACATGATAGGTACAAGAGTCACATGCCAAGAGTCTAATCAAAGAAACAAGTAATCCAAAACTATACAAACTAATTAAGGTAGAGAGTTCATAGAAGTTGTAAAGGTGATGGTGTCAAAACAGGGCGGTAAGGAAGATTTTATAAATATAGAACAGTATGCTGGGGTTACATGTAGCACGACATGAACCCCAGATCATGCACCCATGAAGACAGCCTCAACTTAACCAACAGTTTGAATCACAGAAACTTCAATCAGGCTTCCTACCCTTGGAGTCCTGTGCACTGTAATCACCTGCCTTCCCCTCCCTGCTAACTAGTTCGGAAACTTTGGGGTCTTGGGAATTTCAGCTCACCACAGTTTTAAAGTGTGTCTAATTGCTGAGATTCTTGCTGTTGGTTCTCTGGGTTCAAAGCAGGCCTGTGTCTGGAAGCTCTTGTTTGGATAGCGCTTGGTTGGCTTCCTCCTGTCGGATGTCCTTTGTTGCAATGATTACCTTGGTTTGGCCTCCCGATTCAGTTTCTCTGTTAGGCCTCTGTGGTTATTGGTTTCAAAGGTGCTTGAGAGAGGCTGTTTCTGCAGAAGCTTGTTGTTGAAAATGGCTCTCCTCCAGGTGAGACGAGGGCTGGCAGTCATATAGACTGTGTGCCCTGTTATCTCCCCTCAAATCTGTGTTGTCCTTTGTGTTCCTGGTATTTCCTTCTGAAGTCAATTGGTTTCCTGATAGTTCAGAGTTTATGTGAATGTATTTTGATTGAAGTTGAATGGCTGGCATCTCTGTGAAGGCCCCATACTGTCTATGCTGAGTAGCCCAAAGTGTAAAAGTTAGTTTCAGTCTACAGTGTTAGGTTTGGGTTGATTGTTCTCCTAGAGTGGAGGTGTAAATTGGAATATTTTGAAATCATTCTGGCTCTGTGTTTGTTTGTTCCAGCCTAACCTCAGGTTTTTTGTTAGGTATTTTAGATGTTAGGAAAGTCCAGGGTCTTGTCCAATATTTTAGATGTTGGAGATGTTTGCTCAGCCCTACATTTTGATGATATTTCTTCTCCTACATGCCTTTTTTCCTTCCTCTTGTTCTTTACATTGCCATTAGCCATCTCCAACTTACCGTATGGCTCTGATTAAATCTGAATCAATGCATATTTCACAGTTTTACCACCCAAGAAGGTCTCCATGTGAACAGCTGAAGGAACACAGCTGTGATGAGACTGAAGGCTAATTGTGCCAATGCAAAATTAGCATTTTCAGCAGCTCTAAGTCAATATCGAAGAGACCTTTTTCTTGTGTCCCCCCTCCACCATTAGACTGTCATCATTCCTCAACAAGCATGATTTCACATACAATTGGCTTGATCTTCAGACTGGCAAAAAACTCTTGCTGCTATACTGATCACCAAAATAATATTCTCTGAAATAAGCATTAATTTCAGGACAAGTGGGTTTTATTTCCCAAGAAATATGGTGGCTACCTTATGAAGCACTGGCACAATCCCAGATGTATTTGAGAAATTATAACGAGAGGCTATGCTGTACCCTTTTGGATGTTATTGGGCAACAATTTTACCAAAAGGGCCTTTTGACTTATGAAGAGCGTTTTTGTTTTAAAAAATACATTTTACACAATACAGGACAATCAGCATGTGTTGGAAAATCCAATCATGAAGGCTAGTCAAGCTATATGAATAAATGGATGACAACAGCAAAACTATTCAATAATTTTTAATGTAATGTACATGTTGGTAGCAAGGCCCAGCATTTATTGTCCATGCATAATTGGCATCAACAAATTGGGGATGAACCATTTAGTTAAATAGCTACAGTGTATTTGGTGTAGGGACATGTATTTGCCAACAGGTAGCAACAGTGAAGCAAGAATAATATAGTTTCAAGTCAGAGCTAACGTTTCCTATATCTTAAAAAACAAGACAAAATCCTGTTGCCGCTGGACAAACCTTGGGGTCATGCACAGCAGCAGTTTCTTAAAGCAGAAACCGCTCATTGGCATGCTAATTGATGTGTGGAAGCAGCTTAAAGGGATCATTTGTTAGGATGGTGTGTGGCTTTGAGAGGAACTTGCAAGTGGTGGTGTTTCCATGCATCTGCTGCCTGTGTCCTTCTATACTGCTGGCATAATGGAAGGTTCTGTTTAAAACAGCCTTCATGAGTGCTGCAGGGCACTTTGTAGATGCACAGACTGGTGCCTCTGTTTGGTAGTAAAGGGATTGAATACTTATGGTGGTGAATCAGGTGCCAATCAAGTGGACTGCTTTATCCTGAATGATGTTGCGTTTCTTGGATGTTTTTGGAGCTGCACTCACCCAAGCAAGTGGAAAGTATTCCATCACACTCCTTATTTGAGCCATCTGGAAGACTGAGAGGATCTGGAAGTCAGAAGACCTGGTACCTGCCACAGAATTACCAGCCTCAGATCTGTCTTGCAGCTTAGAGTACTTATATGACTGGTCCAGTAAAACTTCTGATCAGTGGTTGCCTTCCCAAGACATTGATACTGTGGGAATCTGGGATGGTAATACCATTAAATATCAAAGGGAGATATATCAGATCACCACTTGAGTGGTAAGAATGTTATTCATCATCCATCAGCCTAAGCCTGGATGTTGTTCAGTCCTTGCTAGTATATGGACACTGATAGCTTCAACAACCACAGAGTTGTGAAAAGTACTGAACATTATGCAATTATTCACTAAATTCCCACTTCTGACTTCATGCTGTGCAAAGATCGTTGAAACAGATTAAGACTTTTAGACTTCTGATACTACGCTGAGGAATTCCTGTTGTGATTTCCTGGGATACGTTTGATCTCCTACAACTACAGGGATTTTTCTTTGTCCTCTATACGACGCCAATCAGCGGAACCTTTTGCCTCCAATTCCCATTAACTTGAGTATTGCTAGAGCTCCTTGATGCCACCTTTAGTCTTGATGTTGAGACCCATCACTCATGTACAGGATGCCTAACTTCGGTTGGATACGTTCTTCATGGTTTCATCACGTGTTCTACACAACCCCCTCCCAGTAAGCCCTTTTCCAATTTTTGTTTACAAACTGTGTAAAGTACGAGTACTTTTCAGATATTTTTTCTTAGCTGCTTGGAGCAATGCCCAGGAGATTAACTGCCTGGAGCAATTAATGTGCAGAGGGTTGGCAACGCTTATTTAGTGTTGGGGGCATAGAATGATTGTAACACAGGGGGTCATTTGCCCATATGAGGAGCAATTGCAACTTATTTCATCCTATTCCTGTCTTTTTTTCTGTAACCGTGCATTTTTCTTTAACAATTCAGATAATGATCTAATTCAGTAAGCCAGCTCTGAGGAAGCAATGCATTTTTCATCCTAATCACTTGATACATAAAAATAGTTTTTTCCTCATATTATTGTGAAATGAGCAATTTAGATGGGGGAAAAAGGTGGGATAAAGAAATATGTTTTCAATAACCCAAAATAAAATTAAATGCAAAATATAGGATGGAGAGCGGGATAAAACTTTCTTTTTTGTAACACAGAGGGTACGGGAATAACTGTAGAGTTAATGAAGCAGAGATATTGCCGGATGGTTAAGAAATAAAAGGGAATTGGGTAATTACTGCATGGCAGTCGGACTGTGATGTGCGTGGAGGATAGAATACATGACCTGAATAGTACAGCTAGGATTTGGCAGACAGGGATTCTAAATAATTAGAGATTTAAATTTCATATTAGAAACAAATCCTTCAAGACAAACAAGGGGTTTTTTGCGCGCTGCGGATCACATGGAGTCAGCGGAAGTGACGTATGAGCACGGCCGATTAGCTGTTACAGGAGGTTCTAAACCAGGTTTGTGGAATTTTGCTGCTTCTTTCTTCTATCGGTAAAGTCTAACTATTATGCTGGACTGGAACCGGCCTCCCGAAATACTAACCGATGTTTTTCTACTTTTGTAATTTTTAAAAAATCTGTGGGTATATTGTCAAGTTGGGGTGATACCCGTAGCGAGAAAACTTTCACCAGCACACTACCTCCCCCCCACTCAACTTCTGCTATAAAACGGGAACCGTCCTGTTACACCAATATGCAGAACGTTATATAAACGTCTTTTGAGATTTATGTTTTTAAAGTAACATTCTTTGTAACACAGTTGCGATGCTTCAAAGTTGATTTTAACCAAATATTTGTCAATAAAACAGAAAAGGCTGAAAATACTCAGGATTTAGCAACATATTTGAAGTGAAACAGTCAACATTTGAGCACTTCAAAAGACAGCAGGGAAAGTCTGGGGTCGGCGTTCAGTTCCACCCTCGAACAACTATCTGTGTGGAGTTATGCACGTTCTCCCTGTGTCTGCATGGGTTTCCGCCAGGTGCTCCGGTTCCTTCCCACAGTCTAAAGATGTGCAGTTTGAGTGGATTGGCCATGGTCTGTGTAGGTTAGGTGCTTTAGCCATGGAAAATGTAGGTTTACAAGTTATGGGGAGGACTGGGGGGATTGAGTCAACGTGGACTTGTTGGGCCAAATGGCCTGTTTCCACACTGTATGGATTCAATGGTTCTATAATTGATTGACGAGAGCTATTCCTACTGAACTAAAGGTAATGGTGATGGAGGGGAGAAAAGCAAAAGTACCTAGAGTACGCTGGTGGATAGAAAATAAAACCAAAACAAAGAAATGAAACAGAGCATAAGTTATGATTCACATTATTCGCAAACTCAGTTTTAAGTCTGTAAAATGCCTAAGCAAAAGATAAAGTGGTTTGGCTGGTGATGTGGCACACTTGTGTGTACTGGAGATTATATATGTTAATACACAGGGCCCAGTTCTTTGCAGACAAAAAGCAGATACACTATGCCTGAATCAGTGCAGTAAAATAGGTGATGTTGATTCTCTGGTTCATTCCTGTATGATGCCTTGATGAATCAGAATCAACCTGCCCGGTTTAAAATTTAAACAAAGCTTGACGGTTATCTGTCAGTTGCATTAACAGGTGCATGCTCCACAGTGACGCCTTTACCAATTAGATACCAAAATATAAATGTTTTTACTTTTACTTGTGTATTTCTTGCAAATTGTCCTGATCAAGGCAAGATGAAAATGTTATGAAGTTGTGTAGAGGGTGTGGTTCCTTTATGAGAGAGTGTGTTTCTAAGCTTAAGAGATTCATACAATAAAAGAAAGTATCTGCACGTAGCTGAAGATGTACACCCAGTTCTAAGAGTGAAACATGTATCAGTTGGCTGTGTTATTGGAAACCTTAGGCTTGTTTTGATGATTTGGCAACTAGCTGGAATCAGCCAATTAATTTAAACCAAGCACTTAGTGATTGAAAACTAAAATGAATTTAAATCTGATGGTTTTGATTACCTCGGACCAATGCTATTGTAAGAAAATTGATGCGTCATCCAAGGTATATGAGGAAACGGTTTTTGAAGATCGGTATGAGAGCGAACCGCCATTTGAGAAATAAGCACCTAGCTCTCTCAAGAAATGACTAAGCTCACTAAGAAAGCACCCTCTTAAACATAAAAAGTAACACGGTACTTCTAACGAAGAGTCTTCACAGAGAAAACATCCTGACAGCAGGATCAGTGAAGGAAAGGTGTTTATGACTGGAGAGACAGTGGAGAAGGCAGACCATTCCAGCAGACACATTCTCTGTGTGGGCTTTGAGAGACTAAGTTTTAATTTTTTTTTCTAACTACTTGGGTTATATAAGTGGCATAACAAGGTGTAGAGCTAGATGAACACAGCAGGCCAAGCAGCATCAGAAGAGCATGAAAGCTGACGTTTCGGGCCTAGACCCTTCTTCAGAAATCTCCAGCATCTGTAGTTCCTACTATCTCTTATATAAGTGGGACTTGTGTTTATTGGAATAGCAAATCAGTAGCATTTTGTTCGGTTAGGGAATAGTCAGGAGTTAGGGAGGAATTGTTCGGTTTGATTGTAGTTCTGTTAATTTGTTCACTCTTAGGGTTAAATAAATAAAGTGTTACTCGTTACTTATAAAGTGAATATCAGGGATTTTCCTTCTTTTAACCTCCCCTTTTCCATTACAGTTTGGGGGCTCAAATCCAGGATCTGGCTGGTTTGTGTACGGGATCTGAATGGAACTGAAACGGTTTGAATTACAGTTAAAAGCAGAGAAAAAAGAAAAGTAAAGAACTGCTCTGGCCAAACAAAAAGAAAAAGAGTGAGAAGACAAGGAGAAAGAGAGCGAGTTTGAACATAGGAAGTTGCAAATTAAAAAGGATAGCTGACATAAGAAGATAGATTTAGTGAGGAGGAGCGTGATGATAAGCAGACCCATCGTACCAAAGACCTGCTAGGGATATATACAAACATGTCAAAACATTACCCAAATTCAATGAAAAAGATGCAGAAGCCTTTTTCATTTACTTTGAGAAATTGGCTAGGCAGATGAATTGGCCACAGACTGTGTGGGTAATGTTAATTCAGACCAAGCTGGTGGGGCTAGTGAGGTGTTGCAGCACTGTCAGATGAGGTATCAAGAGAATATGAAGATGTTAAACAGGCTATTTTGAGTGCTTACAAATTGGTACCAGAAGCATAGACAACGATGCAGAGCTGGGCTGAGAAGCGGCAGATGGAGTTTAATCCTGAAATGAGTGAGGTGATTCATTTTGGAAGGACAAATTTGAAAGCAGAATACGGAAAGCAGGGTTAACGGAAAGATTCTTGGCAGTGTGGCGGAGCAGAGGGATCTTGGGGTTCATGTCCACAGTTCCCTGAAAGCTGCCACCCAGGTGGATAGAGTTGTTAAGAAGGCGTATGGTGTGTTAGTTTTCATTAATAGAGGAATTGAGTTCAAGAGCCGTGAAGTTATGCTCCAGCTATACAAAACCCTGGTTCGGCCACATCTGGAGTATTGTGTCCAGTTCTGGTCGCCTCATTACAGGAAAGATGTGGAAGCGTTGGAAAAGGTGCAGAGGAGATTTACCAGGATGTTGCCTGGAATGGAGGGAAGGTCTTACGAGGAAAGGTTGAGAGAGCTCGGGCTTTTCTCTTTAGAACGACGAAGGATGAGAGGTGACTTGATAGAGGTGTACAAAATGATCAGAGGTATAGATAGAGTAGACAGCCAGAGACTTTTTCCTCAGGTGGAGGTAGTTATTACGCGGGGGCATAGTTTTAAAGTGAGTGGAGGTAGATATAGGGGAGACGTCAGAGGTAGGTTCTTTACTCAGAGAGTGGTAGGGGCTTGGAATGCATTGCTGGAGAGGGTAGTGGAGTTGGCCTCATTAGGGGCATTTAAGCAGCAATTAGGTAGGCATATGGATGATAGTATAAGGTAGTGGTGGAGGTTAGATAGACCTTAGGTTTAGGGTAAAAGTTCGGCACAACATTGTGGGCCGAAGGGCCTGTGCTGTGCTGTACTGTTCTATGTTCTAAATATAAGGAAGAAACCAGGTCAGACTTGCGTCGTGTTTGAAGGAATTAAACATAGCAACTTCAATAGATGGGTGATAGCATTACAGATAGAAAAGACATACAAGGATCTTAGAGAGAGAGATTATTTTGCTGGAGGAGTTTAAAAACTCACTTCCAGAAATGATAAGAACTCATGTTGAGGAACAGAAAGTTCAAACAGTGAGAAGAGTGCAGAGATGGCGGATGAATACACCTTAGTGCGTAAATCAAAATTTAGCTCCCGACAGCAATTTTGTTCTGTGGGGGATAGAAATTGGGAAAAAGGGAGATCTTTCAATGAAAAGCAAAAAGTTGATCACACTGGGAACAGTTTACCACAGGTGAAAATGGAAACCCAAGAGGGTGAAAAAGAGGCAAAAGGCCTCGGATGTTTTCACTGCAATGGAGTGGGACACGTGAAGTCAGTGCTGATGTCTTAAGGAAGGCACTGGGAAAAAGGATGTGGTAAAAGAGGCTAAACAAGTGGGATTATTTAAGGTCGCGAAGGAAATCCCAAAAGGAATCGAGGAGCTGCAGGAGAGTACGTAGCCTAGTCACGGGCTGGATAGTGAGATAGTGCCAGACCTCTACAAAGACTTCACCTCTGTGGGTAAGGTTTACTCGGGAAGAACAGAGGAAGAAGGTAAAGAAGTTACAATATTGAGAGATACAGGAGTTAACTAGTCTGTAATAATGAGGTGAAAGTATTTGCACTCCTCCTAATGTGTTACCGGAGAGAGTGGTAATCTGTGGAATAAATGGAGAGAGATTTAGCATTCTCCTGTGTAAGATCAGGTTGGAAAGTCCAATCAAGAATGGGGAAGTGACAATGGGAGTGATTGAAACAATGTTTATTCCAGGAATTCAGTTTGTTCTTGGAAACGACCTAGCAGGATCAAAGGTGGGAGTGACTCCCCTTGTAGTGGAGAAGCTGAAGGAAAACAAGGGAACTGAGGGGTTAAAAGGAAAAAACCCAAGAATTTTTCCTGACACGATCCCACAGTCATAAATTAAGCAAGAAAGAAAAACCAGAGGGAGAGATGAAGGAGTTGTGGTCCAGTTAGCTGACACCCTGTTTGATGAAATGGTAAAAGAAATACCTGAACAGGTAGAGGATCAGGCAGAGGTGTTTAGTTCTGAAAGATTAATGGAGTTTTAACAAAAAAATGAGACAATAAAAGGTTTATATCATAAAGCCTACTGGGAAAAGGAATCATAATGTATTCCCTAATGTTGTTATCTTACGGATAGAATCCTAAGGCGAACATGGAGACTGTGGCAGGCTAATGCAGAGGAGAAATAGACGGAAGTGCACCAGATTGTGTTGTCGGTAGTATACAGACAGGAAGTGTTGCAGGTAGCACATAAGTTACCTGTAGAAGGTCATCTAAGAGTGTGGAAGACTCAGGCTAAAATACTAAAGCATTCCTATTGGCCTAGATTACATAAGGATGTGGTTGAATTTTGTTGTACCTGTTATACATGTCAGTTGGTAGAAAAGCCACAGGCAGTAATAAAACCAGCACCTTTGCCAGTTCCCATATTTGAAAAACCTTTCACGTGGGTCATGATTGATTGTGTAGGTCCCCTCCCTAAAACCAAAAGTGGAAACAGTATTTGCGCTAACCATAATGGATGTGTCGACCAGATTTCCGGAAGGAGTTCCATGTCAGAATGATAAGACAGAACAGGTTGTGGAGGAGTTGCTTGCTTTCTTTACACATTATGGATTACCCAGGTGGATTAAGTCAGACCAAGGGTCCAATTTGACTGCCAAACTATTTAAGGAGGTCATGGATAGTTTAGGCATCAAACATTTTAAATCAAATGCATACCATCCTGAACCCCAGGAGCATTGGAAAGGTGGCATCAGACCATAAAGACCATGCTGAGGGCTTATTGCCAGGATTACCTTAATGATTGGGATAAAGGTATCCCATTTATATTATTTGCCATTAGAGATGCCCCAAATGAATCGACTCAGTTTACTCCATTTGAGTTGATATTTGGACACTAAGAAGCCCTTTAAAATTAATTAAGGAAAAGTTGATAGGTCCAAAGTCGGAGATATCATAATTGGATTATGTATCTGAGGTGAGAAAGATTAAACAGAGTAGGTGAATTAGCTAGACAACAGCTGAAAGTGGCATCTAATGAAGCAAGAAGCAGATAAGAAATCTAAAATTCATGCATTTGCCCATGGGGATAAAGTATTGGTGCTGTTACCAGTGGTAGGAGATTACTCCAAAGCAAGGTTTGCTGGTCCTTATCAGATTGAGAAGAAGTTAAGTCAGGTGAATTACTTAGTAAAGATGCCAGATAGCAAAAAGCTTTATTATGTATGTCATGTGAATATGCTGAACCCTTATTATGATAGGGACAGGGAACTGGAGAAACAGGTATTAGTTACTGCCCCTCAGTATGAGGAATCAAAACCAGATGATTTGGATTTAGATGTGCCTCAAAATAACTTAAATAATGAGGAAGTCTTTAGAGAATGGGATAGCATAGTGAGCTATTTGTCTCCGGAACAGAGAACTGAATTGAAAGTCTTGTTGTAACAACATGAGGACATATGTGAGAATAGAATGGGGAGGTTTAATATTATTGTACATGAGCTTGAACTGAGAATACTGTTCCGATTAAGCAAGACCCCTACAGGCCTAATCCTCTCAAAGCCACACAGGTACAGAAGGAAGTGGAACCGATATTCCAAGAAGACGACATCGAGCCGAGTCAAAGTGAGTGGGTTTGCCGATTGTGTTGCTTCCCAAACCTGATGGTACACAATGATTCTGCATGAATTATTGGCAGGTAAACACTATAACTAAATCAAACTCGTACCCAATTCCAAGGATAGAGGACTGTGTGGAAAAGGTTGAACAAATCACTTACATCACAAAGTTGGACTTACTCTGTGGTTACTGGTAAGTACATTTGTCGGAGCGAAAGAAGTTTCTGTGTTTGTAACTACAAATGGGCTGTATCAATTTAAAGTAATGCCCTTTGGAATGAAGAACGTACCAGCCACATTTCAAAGACTTATGAACAGAGTTGTGGCAGGAATGACTAATTGTGCTGTCTTTATAGATTACTTAGTGATCTTTGGCCATTCATGGAAAGATCACATGGTGCATTAGGCAGAACTCTTTGAAAGACTACAGGAGGCAAAACTGGTTATAAATTTAGCAAAAACTGAATTTGCAAAGGCAGAAGTGACATTCTTAGGACACAACGTTGGACATTGGAAAGATGACGCCAAGGAACATGAAGACGAAGACCATCGAGGAATTTCCAAGACCCTCCTCGAAGAAAGAGGTGCTTTGAATTTTGGGACTGAACAGCTTCTACCAAACTTTATTAGCATGGTAGCACCGCTAACGGATTTGCTAAAGAAGAGCATGAAATTTTGGAGGACAGAACAATGCCATGTGGCATTTGAGAATTTAAGTGTTAACCATCACATCAGTTTTAGCCACACCAAATTTCTTAACCTTTTTAAAGTCGCTGTCGACACCAGCGATGTAAGGGTTGGAGCTATGTTGATACAGGAGGATAATAGCAGAATTGAAAGGCCAATTGGTTATTTTTCAAAGAAACTCAATATCCACCAGAGAAAATACTCCTCCATTGCAAAAAAGTTATTGAGTTTGGTACTGGCCTTACAACGTTTTAATGTTTATCTTACAAACAATGTTTTGGAGGCGGTTGTGTATAGAGACCACAACCTGCTGTCCTTTTTTGGAAAGATTTAAGGACAAGAATACAAGACTATTTTGTTTGAGTCTTATGTTATAGGCTTTTAATTTACAGATTGTACAAGTTGCAGGTCAGAAAAACGTTATTGCAGATATGTTATCACGGGTTTAAAAAAAAATGTGTACATAAGATGGAACTGGTACAATCCAATGTTATATATGTATGCAGAATTGTTATGAAGGTTATAACTTCAGATTACTGACCTATGTGTATCATGATAATGGTGTTAAGAATTTTAAAAAAGAAGTCATCTTTTCATAATGATGGTTCTTTTTTTCTTAAGGGGGAAAGTGTTATGAAGTTGTGGAGAGTGTGTAGTTCCTTTAAGAGATAAAGTGCTTTTCTAAGCTTAAGAGATGTATACAGGAAAAGAAAGTATCTGCATGTACCTGAAGATGTACACCCAGTTCTAAAAGTGAAACATGTATCAATTGGCTGTGTTATTGGAAACCTTAGGCTTGTTTTGATGATTTGGCAACTAACTGGAAGCAGCCAATTAATTTAAACCAAGCACTTAGCGATTGAAAGCTAAAATGAATTTAAATCTGATGGTTTTGATTACCTCGGACCAGTGCTATTATAAGAAAATTGATGTGTCATCCAAGGTATATGAGGGGATGGTTTTTGAAAATCGGTGTGAGAGCCAACCACCATCTGAGAAATAAGCACCTAGCTCTCATAAGAAATCACTAAGAAAGCACCATCTTATCCATAAAGGGTACTAATTAAGAGTCTTCACAGAGAAAACATCCCTGACAGCAGGATCAGTGAAAGAAAGGTATTTATGACTGGAGAAACAGTGGAGAAGGCAGAGTATTCCAAAAGACACATTCTCTGTGTGGGCTTTGAGAGACTAAGTTTTTTAATTTTTTTTTCTTACTGTTTGGGTTATATAAGTGAGACTTGTGTTTATTGGACTAGCATACCAGTAGAATTTTGTCCGGTTAGGGAATAGTCGTGAGTTAGGGGGGAATTGTTCGGTTTGATTGTAGTTCTGTTAATTTGTTCATTGTTAGGGTTAAATAAATAAATTATTACTTTTTACTTATAAAGTGAATATCAGGGATTTTCTTTCATCTAACCTCCCCTTCTCCATAACAAAAAGCTTTGAGAAAATATATCTTTTTAGCAATAAACATGACTTAGTTTGCTCTTTGTGTGCTCAGATAATGATTTTTATTTTGTTTTCAGTTGTTGCAAATTATCCTGGATAAAATTGTGCAATGGTCAAAATTAAGCACTTTATGATGTGTTGTTCATTCTCAATTTAGCAATATAGAGAAGTTGCTTACAATTTGCAAATCCATATTACTCTTAGGTTAGATAACTAACCGTATTGATGTATATTTCTAAGTTGTTGTTAGATTTGGAAAAAAAGCACCGTTACTCATCTATTATGGTATGTATCCAGTCTTCTTCTGTCAGATTCTATATGTTTCTGGCATTTTGTGTTTATTTCAGCTTTCCAGCATTTTCAATATTTTGCTTTTAGCTTTAACATAGAAAGCTCCTAGATAAGCTCACGTCCGGTAAGCATGGGAAAAATGACGGCAAGAATTTTGAGGAATGTCAAATTTTTTTAAAAAATGAATCATTATCTCTGACAGTAGGTTATTGTAATCATCAGACAGCCTAAAGATTCCTTAACAGAAGTCCCATGAATGGTAAAAAAAAAAGTCATTGAACGTGAATTCCTATTTACGTTTTTTGAATTATTTGAATTTTAAAAAAATTGAATTGGGCGGCACAGAGGCTCTGGGGTTAGCACTGCTGCCTCACAGTGCCAGGGACCCAGGTTTGATTCTAGCCTTGGGTGACTAATCGTCTGTGTGGAGCTTGCATGTTCTCCCCATGTCTCCATGGGTTTCCATTGGGTACTGTGGTTTCCTGTCAGTCCGGAGTTGTGCAGGTTAGATGGATTGGCTGTACTAACTTGCCGTATGGTTTCTAGGGATGTGCAGGCTAGGTAGATTATCCATGATAAAATGGAGGGTTATGGTGTTGGGTAAGGGGCTGTATTGGATGGGATGCTGTTTGGAAGATTGATGTGGTCTCAATGAGCTTGGCCTCTTTCTGCACTGTAGAGATTCTATGAATTTATTTCCATTTTACAGCTAATGTGCTGTTGATGTGTAATTTAGAAAGCAAAACCCCTCAACTATTGTAAAGGTTAACCCTGACAAGCACGTTGTGATTATTTTTTTCTTGGCAGATTGGGAAGAATGACATTACCATGGCGAGTCTATCAGATGATGATGCTTAAGCACCCTTGGAAAGTCCAAATACTGACTGCTGGTAAGAAATTTTGGTCAGTGATACCCATGATTTCAATTTCGTTACAATTTCCATTGACTTTCGACCAAAACAAATATGTTTAGTGACCCGTTCTCTAAGTGTGGAGCAGTTTTGGACTTTGTTTCCACCAATGACTATCTTGAATCCTTAGTGTCTGTGCAGATACATGCAACAACGTGATGAGGTTAGATACAATAAAATTATAAAAATATTAGTAGATCTTCTGTGGTATTGAATTGTGGTAGAGAATGGTCAAGACTTGAGTGGTGTCTAAGCAGTGATAGAGTATAGGTGAAGGGGAAGTATGTCATACAGCTTGGAATCAAACCCTTCGGTCCAATCAGTCCATGATGACCATGTTCCCAACCTAAACTGGTCCCACCTCTCTCCGCTTGGCCCATATTCCTTCAAACCTTCCTTGTTCATGAACTTATCCAAATGTCTTTTAAACATTATAATTGTACCTGCATCCACCACTTTCTCTGGCAGTTCATTCCACACACAAACCACTTTGTGTTTTAAAAAAAGTTGCCTCTCATATCCTTTTAAAATCTTTCTCCTCTCACCTGAAAATATGTCCACTAGTTTTGAATTCCCTCACCTAGGGAAAAGACCCTTGTCATTCACCTTATCGATATCCCTCATAGTTTTGTAAATCTCAAGGTCACCCCTCAATCTCCTAGGCTGGGAGAAGGGTTGCGACTTAGCAAAGGGGGAAAAGATGGAAATAAGAGGAAACAGGAGATTTGGAAAGTTAAGGTTGGTGATGTAATCGAAGAAGTGACAAGAAAACTACCTCTGATAGTTCTTGTATCTAGCTGTGCCCCAACTCTCAATTCTTAGTGAGAGATGGTGAGTGGTAATCTAAATGTTCCCTTTTTCTTGGTCTGGAAATTCATTGAAAAGAGGTATGGCAATCTATATTTTCCAGCAACAATACTTTCATTATGAAGTGGCTTGGAGGAGGTGGTGGGGACAGCATGTTGAAATGATCCATTGATTCTCATCTCAGGAGAGAAAATTACCTTTGCGGAGACCTATATGTTTCCTCCAGTACTCTTAGTACTGCCACCTTGGCCACTTTCAAATTCAGTACGTGTTGTATGGTGAGTGGGAGGGGTCGGGTGTTTGGGGAGACACCTGCTTGCTACTAGTACTCTCAAGTTGCAAATAAACAGACTATGTTTTCATCGCATTCCCTGGCATACATTACAGTGATGTAGCTTCTGTTCAGTCAAAGATATTTAACGGTAGTAATTTCTGGGAACGGAAGTTTTGGCAGTCACAAACTCCATAACTCAAGACCAAACTTTCTATGTGGATTTTTTTAATGGAGGCCAGGCTTCTTTGAATGAGGCAGAGATGGGAAGACATTTTTTGGTTTTGCTGGAATGTTCTGCCAGAGTTCCTTATGAGGACAAAACATTTGCTCCTAGAATTACCAGTCTGCTGCAGAAAAACTATCTGATGGCAAACATGTAAAGGTTTGGACTAATTCACTAAAGTTGAGTTGGAATGGTTAGTGATGTATATTTTAGTTGCCTGTTTTCAACCTTACATTGTAGTGATGCTTTTAAAGTGGGATTTGCTAATTTACAATACTACCTGTGAGCATAAATGTACTGAAGGTACATGTTGAAAGCTTCACAGTTTTTCAATACATGGTGACATGAATTTTGTGTCCCATTCGGCATGTTTAATAAAGTTTAATGCAAGATATGCTAAATTGCTTTTGTACTTTGTTTTTAGAGTCGTAGAGATCTACAACACAGAAAAAGGGCCTTCGGTGTATTGCATCCTCACCAGACAAAAACAACTGCCTAACTATTCTAATCCGTCTTCCAGCACTTAGCCCACAGCCCTTAAGCATATCGCAAGAGCACACAAAAATACTTCTGAAATACTCTGAGAGTTTCTGCCTCTATCACCCTTAGTGAGTTTCACGTTCCCATCACCCTCTGGATGAAAACGTTGTTCCTCACGTTTCCTCTATACGTTCTGCCCCTTACCTAAAGTCAATGTCCCCTGGTTACTGATCTCTCCACCAAGGAGAAAAGCTTCTCCCTGTCTACTCTGTCAGTGGTTCTCATAATTCTATACATGAATCATGCCACTCTCATTCTCCTCTGCTCCAAGGAAAACAGCCCGGTCTGTAGTCTCTCTTCACAATTGAAACTCTCCAGCCTTGTATTGCTGTTTTGTTTTTTTTTTTGTTCCCCTGAATTTTGCCCTAGCTTGTCTTAGGTGTTTACTTTGAATTGGTTGCTTATGGCAGTGTTGAGTCCTGATGGTTTTCTTTTGTTTTGCTGTAAAGCACAAAACAAACTTTAACTCAATTTAAATATTCATGAGCATTTCTTTTGCATCTTGCCATGAATAAATAAGTGTTGAAATGACACTATCTGTATTAAAATACCTTGAACAAAAAGTACCAAGCTTCTACTGTAACTTTTTTTCCTGAGACTTCCCAAATTGTTGTACTGTGACATCAGTGCGTGAAATATATTTTGGTGACATGGCACCACAGTTGACAAATTTGGACTGGTGTCTGAGTGAAGCATTTGGAGCATTAAATTTTGAGACTAGCCATGTTGTTGTATTTTCGTACTATCATCTCTAGGAGGAAGATCAGTTACAGGTGTCACAGAACAAGGGTGCATTTGAAGTGAGCATTTTTTTTTAAAGGATTTGAAGATTGTGAGGTGGAGTGTTTTGTGAAGTAGAGGTGAATCTTCAGAGATACACTTACATGTGGGCAGTATCAAGTCAGCAAAATGCCAGAAAGGCTGCTGAGCTGAGCATTTGCACATGATCATAAAAAAATTGAGATATACATGACATTGAATTTATTTTCTGTTTGTCAGACCAGCCAGCCTTTTGCCAAGTAAAAAAAAAAATCATGTTCAGTGTCACCAACCACATCAGAAATGATTTCAGAATGATGACTATCTAATCATAAAGTTAAGCATGGGTCGAACAGAATGCTGCAAGTTCTTTAATTTTCAGTAAATTTTAGATGACCAACAGTGGTCATTTTATTTGCTTTGTTGTGGGGAAGCATGTACTTAGATTGTCAGAATTTGATTTTAAGAGTACGAGAAGACAGTTTGTGTGGGCATTAGGTATTAAAACAGCATGATCATCTGTGATGAGAAGTGGTAGCTGCAAAATCAAACTAAGTTGCTTGCTGCACAATGTTTGCTCGCAACATAAAAATAAATGCTGACTCCTATTTCTCCCCATTTTATGTTCAGGTTGTCTCTTGAATGTTTCTCATACAACAGGTGACTGAAGGATCAGTTCAAATTCCTGAATTCTTCATACTTAGAAGCTAATGGAATTCTCCCCTGCAGATTTAAAATTCATGAAGATTGATATTTAAAATTTTATGGCTATTTCATAGAATCCCTACAGTGTGGAAATAGGCCCTTCGATCCAACAAGTCCACACCGACCCTTGGAGCATCCCACCCAGAACCATCCCCCTGTAACCTGCACGTCCCTGAACACTACGATTTATATTTTATATTTAGTTTAGACACTGAATGAGAATTGTGAATACTTAAAAAATTTCTCTTCCTTCAAAGTGAACATTGAGAGTTAACAAGAAAGATTTCAGAGTATCTTCAAAATGGTCTTTGCTAAAAGAATGCTTCCTGGAAGTATAGCCCCTAACTTATTTTTCAAAACAAGGATTGATTGACATTGACTTGCCACCAGTGTGATTACGTCATCATCAATGGTAGTCCCTTGCAGACGAGGATGACTCTCTTCCATTTTAATAGGTGGCAGTACAGACCAAGACAGTGTCCCCAGGCTCTGTTACATTTGTGGCAGAAGACGGTCACAGGAAGGGTGGCTGGGGCACTCATATGGCAGCATGCTCCTTTCACTGTTTTCGCCTGGTTTCCACTTTTTCCCAACAGCTGGTCTCAAGGTGTTCAGCATCTTCCTGAGTGCCGCTTCTCCACTTTGGGCGTTCTTGGGCTAGTGATTACCAGGTAACTGTGGGAATGCTACACTTCGTCAGTGAGGCCTTGAGGGTATCTCTGAAGTGCTTCCTCTATCCACCTGGGGTTGCCTGCCATTTCAAAGTTGGGAGTAAAGCTTCGGCTTGGGGAGTCTTGCGTCAGTCATGTAGAAGACATGCCAGCCTATCGTGCTTCAATGCTGAGTTTTGACCAGATCGAGGACGCTCATTTTGATGTGTCTTTCTTCCCAGTGGCTTCGCAGGATCTTACACAGGAAGTGTTGGTGATATTGCTCCAGCACCTTGAGGTGTCTGCTGTAGCCATCCATGTCTTGGAGCCATATAGGAGGGCGGGAACCACCACACCTCTCTAAACAATGATCTTGGTGTCAGATGTGATGATGTAGTCCTGGAACACCTTTTACCTCAGGCTGCCGAAGGCTATGCTAGCACACTGGAAGCGGTGCTAGATCTCTTCATCAGTAACTGCTTTGGCTGACAGGATACTCCTGAGGTATTGGAAATGATCAACATTCTCTAAGGCTTCCCTGTGGAGGAAGAGATGTACGTTACCAGTTCAAGAGCTTCCATGTTGACTTAGTTACTGTGAAGTTGGGCAGGTATGATCCCAGATTTTGATCTCTTGTCTGTGCTAGTATGTTCAGCTGGGAGACTGTGAAAAGCCTTGTGCTTGTGGGCAAGGAAAAGGAAAAATTAATTAGGGTTCCCATTCTAGAATGTTAGCCAGTCACTTATAGGAGAAAGTACCCATTTGTAGGTATTAGCTCAAGCCAGGATTTGGTTGTCAGTGATCCCAGCTGTGTTAATAATGAAGCTTGAATCTGTAACAACTATTTTTTGAATGAGATGCCTGATTTTCTTCTTGAACAACGTATTTCTTCTGATTTTTCATCAACTTTTAACTTTAGCTAACAGTTGTCACATGGTTTATTCAGCTGCTCTCTGAATTGAGTTTGAACACAGACTAACAGTCTTCCAACTTTTAAAATTGTGCATGAGGTTTCCTATTC